AAAAAAAAAAGCTGACTGACAGGAGGCCCTGTAATCCTTTGGGATTGGTGAAAAGTCATATATGGCAAATTGTAAGCACACGTAGTCATCACGTACCCCTCTCCTCACCATCCACTCTGCATATTACTGAGAAAACAACCTTTCTAAAATCCATAGTATTCTCAAACTGAGATCTATAAATATAGTCTCAAGGCTGTAAATATTCCTTATAATGATTTTTCATGATTTTCATCATTTTCAAAGATAAATGGACCTCTAACTATATATGTGACTACCTTATAATCAACTTCTGCTTCCTAGTTTCTATGATCAAAATTAAATTTGTTCCAAATGCAGGTATGTAGAATTAGTACAAGTTTTGCAATAATTGAAGCTAAAATAACATGGATTGGGTATTAGGCATCTCCCTGCCATTGGAGGTGTAGGTGCAGACCTCCGAAGGACCTGCACTGTAGCAGTCAGAACTATAATGAAGCTGCAAGATGGTGTATTGTTGTCCAGGCCCGATAGCATGCAAACCAATTTGCCACATTTATTAGCAATAAACACAGCTGCAAACTGTGCATTGAAGTATTTCATGTTTCCAGTTTCAGAAATAATATGATTAAGTACTCATAACATGTATATTTCCTTAATGCCAACAAGAACAATTCAAGAGAGTAAAACAGCTTTACTGAATTACTGCCTCATTAAATGAGGTATTTAAGAATCGCTTGGTAGAAAACCTTGGCATAAGTATGAGACCTGATTGAAAAAGCTCTGAAAATTTCAGTTCTGTGCTGTATGACATTTTCTGGATCCCTATTATTAAAGTCAAAACACAGAAAGCAATTGAATATAGCCCTGGGTATAAAGCCAAAGGATTTTTACTGTTGAACCCGGTACTGAACATTTAGTTTCAGCAAAACCATATCATCTATTACATTATACTTACTCTGATATAGCACTCATGTTTCTTTGTTTATATGTTATCTTAAAATTCATTTCAGTTTTATAGTTGTATAAGAGTATAATAATAAGTTTTATACATTGTACCTATTTTAAATTTTTTATTTACTTATGTTTTTAATTTTCTGCATGGCACATGTGCTTGCTGGAGACAGACAGACAGAGAGGGAAAGTGAGAAAGCACCCCCTAGGAGGATGACCACACCTCAATCCCTTTTCTTCTGGTCCCCTCACACATGTACCCAGTGTGTTTCTCAAGTTGCCAGGTCTGGGGCTCAAACCATGCAGTCAGGTATGTAGGATCCAGCCACCTTAAACACCACACCAACCAGTTATCCCTACCTACACAACAGTGAAAATAATTTAAGAAAGCAGTTAAACTCCCACAGAATGATTACTCAAGTTTGAAAGCACAGCTCGGGCCTTACCTCCCAACATCCCCTTTCATATACTCTTTGCTGAGCAAAGAACTATTCGTGCAGTTCACCAAACATGGAGGCCTATTTTAACACATGATTGCCTCTGTCTCAAATGCCCTTTCATTTATTTCTTCACTTTACTAAAGACTGTTAACTCCTTAAAATTCTGCCCAAGAGAGCTAAGAAGTTTTCTCTTAATTGCCCCCAAATACCATCTCCACCTACTACCAGTATGATTCAGGCATTTTTTTTCTGTGTTCCCTTAGCACTCTGATTCCCCCACTGAAGCACACCTTCAGCTATATGGTGATCCCCGGGTTACTTGGACATGTCTCAGCAGACAACATGCTCATTCAGTTCTTCCAACAAACACTGGAGGTAGACATTATTATCTTCCCTATTTTATGGATGAGAAAATGGAGGCTCAGAAAGGTAATATAACTTACCCAAGATCACAAAGACATTAGGCAACAGGATGCAGTGAAGTATAACTTGCCTACTCTATGACTTTTCCTCTTGCTACTACGTAAGACCAAACATACACTTGTTTCTCAGCATTTGGTGACTGAGAAGCAGAAAAACACATAAGGAAGTCTATGAGCTCACCTTCAGCTTTTCCTTGAGAATTCTATTCCTTTGTAGTTTTATCATTTCATTTCTTTCTAAAACAGCCTCTCGCTGACTTTGGACAGCTTGCTAGGTAGTGAAAGAAAACAAATGCATGCCGAGTCCAGGGTTATCAACAGCAATAAAGGGATAAGACACATTTTTTGGCAAGTCAAATACATTTGCAGTCAGAGATGCATATATCAATATTATATAATCATAATTTTTAAAATGTTTTGTTTACAAACAATTAGTCCATACTTACATTTCCCACCTTTCTTTCCCTGAAATGAAATTAGAAAAATATAACAATTACTTCACTTTTATTAGGCATCATGGCAGTCTTTTGACTTTCTCTGGAAGCATCATATACTGCCGTGCCTTTCTGCCTTTGGATAAGTTCTTTGATCCAGTACCCTCTTCTGACTCACCTCCAGAGTCCATTTGAAAAATGTGTCTTTGTTTCTCTATGCTATACCAGTGTTTTGTCATCTGTGAAATTGTCTGCGACTTCACTCCCTGTCCCAGTCAAATGCAGCCCTCTCACTCTGGGTTCCCATAGCACTGTGCTCGTCTGTATAACATTTGACCCTCTTTTAGATAGTAAGTTCAGACACCAGGGGATGTACTTCTGAGTCTGCAGCCCCTACCACAGCATGCAATAACCATTTACTAGATCATATTTAACTATGTTTAGCCTCAGTGTTGGCACTGGAAAGGGAGAGCTTGAAATATTATTCTGTGATGGGGGAGGGTGGGAGGAATTGCAAGGAATAAAAATGAACCTAAGGGCTGGCCCATTGGGTTAGTAGTTAAGAGAAGTGGATTCCACATGGCAACCGGGGTTCACCATCCTGACCCTGGTGCCTTGAAAAATACACTGGGCACCTGTACATGCATGCTCCAAATCCCAACAGGATGGAGAAATGAAAGATTGCAGCATGACCATGTCCCATTGAGGGATTGCTTTCTCCCTCTCTCTGTCTCAGTCTCTCTCTCTTTCTCTCTCTGGGAGTGCACATATCTTTGGGCAATTTTAAAAAAGAATTAAAGAATGAAGCTGAAAAGCCATCCTAGACCATGAGGGCACGTGGATTCAGGGAGAAACCAGTCAGACTTAAGTTTAAGTGGGCAGAGGGGCTGTGGTACAGAGGGCAAATAAAGAAGCTCTTGTGACCACAGAAGCACCGAGGACAATACGTCTCATGACCACACACCCCATGTACCCAGGAGAGCCTAGTTTATAACCGCTGACCCTCTGGAAAGACTAATAATACCTCCTTTCACTCCCCAAAGTGCCCAAGTATGGAAGATAAGGTATAGCTTTTCTTTGGAGTAGCTTTTACTACAGGGTGCGTGCACTCGCCAGACAGAGAGAGAGAGAGACATAGAGACAGAAAGTGAGAAATCACCCCCCAGGGAGGATGGTCATGCCACAATCCCTTTTCCTCCATTCTCCTCTCAGGATCTTGGGCACACACACACATGTGCCCAGTGTGAGTTTTAAGCCACCGGGTCCGGGACACGAACCGCGGTCGACTACGTGGGAGTCCAGCGACATAGCCATTACGCTAACTGCTGGTTCCTGGTATAGTTTTTCTTGACACAGGGAGAAGAGAGACCTACATGGAAACCAACACCTGTAAATATCTATTAGGCTCTAAAATACTTACCTTTCATTATTATTTATTAGACCACGCCTCTAAGAGAATGCATCTATTCTTGACCAAAGTTCTAACCTTTGAGGACCTACTCCAAATGAGTAAGAAGTCTGGGGAATAGGCACATCTGAAACAGAATCTGATCCTTTGAAGCTGTACTGCGTAGGCCAGATAGCATTACAGAATGGGCTTCCTAGTCGTGGGGGCAACTACACTTTCCATATTTGTGATGGCAGTGGGATCATGACACTGCGCAATCCAGGAGGTGCTATTTGATACTCAGATGTTTGAATGATACCCTTGGAAGTGGGTAGAGTTCAACTGGCTTGGTGCTAAACAGCTCTCCTGCAAGAAGGCCACATAATCCAGATTTCTAAGACAATCTACTCAAGGGTCCTGATACCCCTGGAAGTCACCCAACCTTTGCTTTCATCCCCAACAATCACTTCCCAAAGTCATGTGCCAGTGCTCTCGGCTAGGGCCTGCGCCCCTACAGGCCCACACAATACCTTAGATATTCAAGCAGGTGGAGTTTGTCAGTCTTGGTAATCACCAGGGCAATGTCCCCACAGAAACCTCGCTGGCAGGCTCTGATGCTCTCATTCAGAAGATCTTCATGGGCTCTTCCCCCAGAAACTCTTTCTATGTCGCTGATCACCCAGATCACTGAGCACTTATCAATGGTCTGTGAAACATGCCCACAGTATGCATCAGAAGGTGAATGGCAACTCGGTTCTGGAGGGCAGGATTCCTGCATGGATCGCTAAGTCATCCCTCTCCCTCCAGTCCCAACCTTACTGCACTCTCCATGTATCAGAGCTATTTGCAGTTTCTTGCACGTGACTTTCTCTTTTAACTCTCAAGGCCTTTGCCTATGCTACAACCTCTGCTTAGCCTCCATCTCTTCTTCAAGATTCTGCTAAGGTCCACCATGGACGAGCTGACCATACCTCCTCTGCATCTTATAACACCTGGACTTACCTACCTTAGTATCACTCGCGCAGAGTTATTGTACAGGGTCAGCCCTGTTCTGGTAAGAAAGGGCTAATTTCATCTTGAAAACCACATCACTTCAAGCACAGTGCTTCACCCATTCAAAAGGCTTCATAGATGTTTGTGGCATTTATTATTATTATTCATAATACAGAGCACATGCATACACATGAAAGAGAGAGAGAGCAAAAGATGCATCCTTTACAGGGTCCCTTCACACTGTGATCCCCTGTCCCTGGCCCTCCAACTCATCAAAGTTTTGGGCACATATACATAGACAATGGCATGTTTTCAGGCTACCTCAGGGATCAGAACTCAGGTCACCATATGGCTTCCAGCACTGCAGTTTGGTTGCTACCACCTATGCCACCAAGCTAGGCTTTGTGGCATTATGGATTGTTAGAATTCAAGAAATCAGTCTTCCACTCACAGAATCATCACTGGCTTGCTTTACCTCAGTTGTTTGGATTGTTAGAATTCAAGAAATCAGTCTTCCTGTCACAGAGCCATCACTGGCTTGCTTTACCTCAGTTGCCGTCTAGCGGAAATTTCTGTTTTTGCCCAACCAGTTTCTGTCATGAATCTGCCTCAAAGCTGTCACCTAGTGGCATCACTCTGATGCTTGTCCCTGCATGTTTCACCTACTGCCACCATGTGGCAGCAGGGAGCCATAAACCATATTATAAAGCTGCAAAGGACAGTGAACATGTTATTACTAGCATAAATATTGCTTTATTAACTATGCAACTTTAAAGTGACAAGTACTTGTGCTTCCTTGTGACATTTGTATTATTTTGCTTGTCTGCATATAAATGAAAGATGGCCCAACTCAGGGTTTCAGTTCATTTGTAGTTTCTCAGGATAGTAATTTGCACATATACGAGGAGTTTGTCAACTGATCATTAAATCACTATTTGCTTTTTTACCAGTAATTTTAGCTAGCAGAGCGGTGACCCATAGAATATTTGGCTATGTCTGGAAACATCTGTAGTTGTTACAACTTGGGGGCTGATAGCAGGTAAAATCCAAAGATGCTGCTAAACACCCCATGATGCCCAGGACAGCCCCCCCTACAACAAAGAATTGCCTGGTTCAAAAGTCAAGGGGTTAAGAGACCAGTGAGTTTCAAACTTGATTTTAGCAGGGAAAACCTTTTTCAAATGAAATCTTAAGAAGAATTCTAATGTATAAGCTTGATTTTTTTCAAATAAAACTGGTCTGGAGGACGATGGCAGCACAGTAATAAACAGAACGTTCTGCAAGGCTGACCCAGATGGGAAGGTTCTAGGTTTGTGTCTGGAGACCTCCCTGAGTGCACCGGGTACACTCACACCCATGAGCCAGGGTTGGCTAAAGCTGAGAGAGGATTGAGGAGTCAAGGCCCTTCTGGGGGTGCTGTCTCTCTTTCTCTCTCTTTTAAAACCTGATTAAATTGAAAGTTAGCGATTTGGAGCCACCATCTACTCAATTCCCCCCATCCTTGTCCTTAAATCTTGTGACTCTCATAGATCATTGCTCAGAAAGTATCGATTTCTTGAGTTGGATAAACCTCTTGGATTATGAAAAAATAAACAGGAATCAAGAGATGAAGAGACTAGTTTAGGGCCACATACCTTGGGATCTGACCCTCCTCTATTTGTGAGTGAATTTACATTTAAACAGGAGACTAAAAATAACTGCTGCCTCTCACTTGCCAAGTTATAATTCGCTTAGAGAAGATTTGAGCTATTCAGTGTCAACACTGGGCAGCAAACTACCTAGTCAGTTGTGGAAGGTAGTGATGACACCAGGTAGAGAGCACCTCCATACAGGGACTCCTTCCCTAGTATTCCCCACAGTTACAGTAAACAACATGTGCTTCATAAATTTATTAACACCAGAAAAGGACTATACTCATAAAGGTTATCGTGTTTAAATTTCAGGCCCCACCCAGAGTTTAAGCTCCTGACTGCCAGATTTGGTAAAGCGAAAGCCAGGAGGATAGAAAAAAGCGTATCTATAAAACAAAAATGACTCGACCCCTGCCATCTCTGGCTTTATCTTGCCCCAGGATGAGAATGGGCCTTGGAGTTATGTGACAAGACTAAAACTACAGGGCCATATGAATTCATAATAGCATTTAGGGACAGCAAAGCTGGCAACCAGAGAGATGGAGGGAGGGCCTCCGTGCTCAGTTCTCCTTGGAAAGAGGGCAATCTTCAGTCATTTCGTGTGAGAGGTAACACGAAACCACAAGAATGCAGGGAGCAAGGCCAAGCAGAGCATTCTGGGAACGATCCTTTCACTTCAGCCCGACCTCCTTGGAGCAAGCATTCTGAGCCAGGTCCTCTGGCTTTGATAAGCTGCCCAGCACATCTGAACTGACCGCAACCAGGGCTCCTCCAGCGAGAGAGCCTGGCTGCCTCCCTCAGCAGTGGCTCCCTTGGCCTCGCCTGGAACTAGCCAAGGATGGTGATTCCACTCCATGGGCTCCTATGGAAACTGAGGCTCACATGGCCAGCGCTGAGCCTGCTGACCAAGAGGAATGAGGCTGGAACTGCCTTCATCTTTAAGGTAATAGATACAATGGATATCCCAGGATGGGAAGGAAAGGAGGGTGGTAGACAGGAGTCAGGAAATCTGATCTCTAGTTAAAATTCTGCCACTCACAAGCTGTGTAGTCTTAGGCAGGTTACTTCCTGTCTCTGAGGCTTCCTTTCTTCATCTGTGCCACCAGGGCATAAGTTTGGATTATCTATTGATACAAGCCATCATCCTGCTCTAGATCACAATTAGAAACAGCAGTCAAGGAGCTCCCTGATCCACAGGTGCTCATTTAGCTAAGACCTGCAAAGTTTAAAAGAACTGAATTCTCCAGCAGCTGCTGGGCTCTTCACTCCAGCCCTGTGCTCCTGCGTTCCCAGGCTGTGCCCCATAGTTCCCTCTGCCTGCCTCGCCCTTCTTCCTCTATCACATGCCCTGGACCCTTGTTCCTTCAGGTTTTCCCAAGAAACCAAATTGGTGTAGCAGTTCTACACCCCGCAGCAACTTGTCCAGGCTTGTCTTCTGTCCCCTCACTCCTCTACACACTCCTTGCTCCTTTCCCTCCAGCCACCCAGAGGGAACACCCTCCCCTGGAACACCAGCTTCCTCACTCCTGGGTCCTTGGCCTGAAATGGTGCTCAACAGTTCCATCCCAACCCCCTTCACTGTCTGTTGAAGGCTGAGCTCCAGTGTCCTCTATGAAGCTCAACCAAACTCCAAAAGGGAAATTAATCACTTTGTTCTTTTTAAAAGAAAAAAATATAATAGCTTATTAATTAGTATAAACCAGTAGTCACCAACCTTCCCAGCACCAGAGAGTAAACTCATGGAAGACAATCCCTCCATGGACTTGGGAGAGGAATTTGTCCTGGGATAACCCAAGTGTATCACATCCACCGTGCACCCCATTTCCACCACTACCACATTGCAATATGCAATGATACAATCACACAGCAGTAGGATTCACACATCCATGAGAATTCAGTACAGCCACTGATCCAACAGAAGGCAGAGCCCAGGCAGCAATGCGAGCAAAGGGGAATGGCTGCAAACACAGGCATAGCCTCTCTCACTTGCCGGCTGTCCACTGCCCACCTCCTGAGGCAGGCAGACCTCAGCAGCACAGCAGCTGGGGGTCCTGGAATAATCTATAAAATGTCAAAAGACAAAGACTTTGTCCAGCCATAACATATTCAAAATTGAGTGGATGATCAACAGGTGTTTGTTGAAGGAACAAGATACCTCCTAGGAGGTAACTTGTACGTTCAAGTGCTCATAACACCTCATGTCTTTCTTATATCACCTTCTTCCATTTATTTAGTCATCTGTATGTTTTAACTCTCCTCTTAAACCCCAAGTCTCTGTGGAAAAGCTTTGCTTCTCATACGACATTGTTTTATTCCACTTTCGACATTTTAGTTGTACAAGCAATACATGTTTGTGCAAAATACATGAATAGTACAGAGGTATGTACAGTCAAGAGTGGTAGTAAGCACAGAAGCTGCTGTTAATAATTGGGTGTGTATCTTCTGGAAAGTACGATTTTCCTTCTATACATTTATGAGTATCACACACACACACATGCACACACACACATGCACACACACACATGCACACACACACACATGCATATACTTCTTAACCTAACAGGTCATGCTTTGCAACTTTTCATTTGCTTTTCATTGGTTTTTGTTTGATCATGTTGGATAAAGGAGGAGTTAGAAGCAGAAACTCCCAAGGCATCATTTGTGTATTTAAAATCCCAGTGTTACAATGGGTAGCTTACTTTATTTAGAATAACACCTAGCACAAAGTAAATGCTCAATCAGCATCTATTACAATTATTATTATTAGCTATAATCTTTTAATCCTTGGAGTTTCATCCTAGTACACTGTATATAATACAGCATATTAAATAAATAAATTTAAAAAACAAATGAACAAACCGATACATTCTTAGAACTACCTCAACTTCTAATAATTAGGTGCAGATAAAATTACCTTTATGTTTAACTCGGGTGGCAAACACATCTGGGAGTGCCTGCTCATTCCATTCACTGGAAATGAACTTCCTACCCAAGCCTTTGGGAGAAAGGGTGGGCCTGCATCCAAACCACCACCTTCAGTCACAGATCACTGCATAAGGGATGGATACATACTCCAGAAAGCTAATCTATTGGCTGAGATTTTTCAGATTCAGATTTTTCTTCTTAGGAATTTGAGCAGAAAGACATAAAGACTATAGCCAGATAGTAATTGGCACATGAACTGCAAGGTCTTTTAGAGACAGGGCTCAGGTGGTTGTTTTCCACAGTGTGGATGCTAATGGTTCAATGCAGGAAGCTAAGAGAGGGACCAGCAGATGGCATAATGGTTATGTCACTCGACTCACATGTAGTCGACCGTGGTTCAAGTACCAGACCCAGTGGCTTAAATTCATGCCAGGTGTATGTGCATGCATGCCCAAGATCCCAAGAGAATGGAGAAGGGATGGCCACCCCTCCTCGGAAGTGATTTCTTGCTTTCTGTCTCTGTTTCTCTTTCTGGCAAGCACACATACCCTATTGCAAAAGAAGCTCAAAAAAAAAAAAATGAAGGAGGAGGAGAAGAAGAAGAAAGAAAAGAAAGCTAAGAGAGAAGCAGGACTTTGCAGAGAGATGCACAAAGACAAATACAGATGCAAGAGAGCACGCAGAATGGCCTCCCTGTACCATTCTGTCCCTGCTTGCTCTGCTTACTCTTAGGCCACCCCATTGCTGGCCCTTCTCCTGCATCATACACTCTTGTTTCAGCTATGAAGATTACCCTGTGATTCTTCCCTCCCCATTTCTCTGGCCATCCATATCCTGCCATTGCCTAGAGGCTTAGAACATAGAAAGTAAAAGAATATAATTCTGATTGTCTCAGAAAATCCCTTAAACTGAAAGCAGGACACTCTTTGTTATTTTTGAAAGGGTGGGGGAGTTAAAGGAAAAGGGAATGAAGTTCTCTGAAAGAGAATCACCTTTTTCCACATCTCATCCCTCTTGCTGTTGAAGTCACCTGTGCCTGGAATGTCCACCAGCACGACACCTTCTGGAATGAGCTCAGATTTGGGAAGAGTCACTTCCACATATTTGATCAAGGGCCAGATTTGTGTCTCAGGGGATCCTCCATCCCATTCGCGCCTCTGAGTCCGGATGTAGGGATCCAGCCTGACTGACAGCTCTTCTGCCTATGGAAAAAGGACAAAGTCTCACACAGTCTCACACACAGAGACACACAGCCATTCTTCCAGCTCTTCACACCAGGTTGGCTGTGATTCACGTTTATCCAAAGTATGCCGAGTACTGGTAACAAGCAGCACTGAATGAGGAGTGTGAGGGCTAGAGTCTAAGCCTTGAGCCAGGAAGAACCCTGAGATCAGAAATTCAAGGTTTTTAACTTATTAATGAAATTAAACTCAGCTAAAATGGGACTTCAGTAAAGTTATAATATCACTGGATAACAAAGTTATCTTCTAAATCCCATTAAATTCTGAAATTAATGTAATTCATATCTGTTTTTATAAATTTTAGAAAGGATTCTGCCCACATGGGCATGTTAATAGCCAGAAAGCCAGCAATGATTATAGAACATCAATAGTAATATAGGGAACCAGCAGTTAGCGTAATGGCTATGTCGCTGGACTCCCACGTAGTTGACCACGGTTCGCGTCCCAGACCCGGTGGCTTAAAACTCACGCCGGGCATGTGTGCGTGCGTGCCCAAGATCCCAAGAGGAGAATGGAGGAGAAGGGATTGCGGCGTGACCATCCCCCCGGTGGGTGATTTCTCGCTTTCTGTCTCTCTGTCTCTCTCTGTCTGTCTGGTGAGCGCACGCGCCCTATAGCAAAAACCTCTCCAAAAATAAATAAATAAATAAATAAATAATAATATAGTGACCATATTTTCCAAATTGAAAATTCATCTAAAATTTGATTTTGAAAAAGGTTTTTTAAATTTATCTTCCAAGTACTAAAGTAAATCTTGATATGTATGCATCTCTAGGACTTCTTTCTAGAGTGTACATGTGCTTGCCAGAGAGAGAAGAAAGAACCCCCCCAACCACCACCACCATGATATATGGTCATGTTGCAATCTCATCTCCTCCATCTCTCCCTACTTTGGGGATTTGGGGCACACATGCACAGATGCCTAGTGTATTTCTCAAGCCACTGGGTCTGGGACTTGAACTACATAGTAGATCATGTGGGATATAGCTGTCTTAAGCACCCGGCCATGGAGCCACCCTTCTAGGATATATTATAAACCCTGAATTTATAATCTCATTCACGAAGCAGGTAATTTAGTTCTCTTTGTTTCAATGGATAGTGATGTAATACTGGGAGGGAGAATTTCTAAATACAGAGGTGAAGAAGCAAATATAATATTGTTACCTTTGTGTAAATTGTGTGTATACAGATAAATTAACTAGTTTCTAATAATTCTGTTTCTTTGCAAATGTTCAGTACATGTTTTAGGTATTAGGAATATAATCACTTTTAATGGCAATATCCATTTAAATATTATAAATTTACATATTACAGATTTAATGCTAAGTGAAATAAGCCAGACTATGAATGAGAGGCATTGTAGGTTCCCACTTAATATATACTGAATGTCTAGACTCTATGGCAGAAACTGAAAGATTGGAAGGTATAAAATATGGAGAGCAACTGTGGATACTAGAGACTGTGGGAGAGCAATGGGCACTAGGGAGGCAGGAGGGAGGAGATTGGGGGGAAAACTCAAAACATTAAATCAGGGGCCAGCAAGTGCCATAGTGGTTAAGATATTGGACTCCCACATGGTCAACTATGGTCCAAGTCCCAGACCAGGAGGCTTGAAACTCACTCCGGGCTTGTGTGCAGGCGTGCCCAAAAATCCAGGGAGGAGAATGGAGAAGAGATTGTGATGTACATATCCTCCAGCCTGCCCCCCCAAAGGGGTGATTTCTCACTTTTTCTTTCTGTCTTTCTAGTGAGCATGTGCTCCCTATAGCAAAAATCTCTCTAAAAAATAAATCAATAAAAACAATAGTGTATGCCATAAAGATGTACAATGATTACATTTAAATAAGAAATCATAAAATAAAATAAAAAAAAATAAATGGATACTATATTTGCTTCATTTTCTATACAGAGATGGGTAAGTACCTTGAAAAGATTTTATTCATTTGATTTCTTACCTGGTCAAGTATTTAACATATTTTAAGAGAAGCAAACATATTAAACTTTAACTATAATACAAAAAGTCTATGAAATTTTGATGAATTATGGAAGTAGTATTAAATATTTAAGGAAAATTTACTATGGGATAATAATTCAGGAGATAACTGAACATTCTATTTTAGGCAATTATAAGTAATTGTTCTAATTTTATACAAAATTACCAGATTTATAAACAGAATAACAATATCTTAAAGACGACGTTTAAGATGCAATAAAAACTACATTTTGGGGGGTTAATTAAAAAATAAATGATGAATACATAAAATAGAGACAGAGGAAGCACCCCCCAATGAGGTCTAGTCATACTGTAATCCTTTTTCCTTTAATTTTCCTTCCCATCAGGATCCTGGATATACACACATTCCTGGCATTTAAGCTCCTGGGGATGAGACTCAAACCCTGGTTATCCATGTGGGATCCAATTTCCTCTGAACAGTGATTAATCACTGTGCTATGGGGCTGGCCCAAGAAAAGCTAGGTGTTTAAAAGCACAGCTTTGGACTGGTAGGTGGTGTGGTGGTTAAGGGCACTGGATTCCCACATGGCTGACTATGGTTCAAGTCCTGGACCTTCTCACTTTCCCTTTCTCTCTCTTTCTTTGTCTCTCTCTGGTCAAATTTAAAACATAATAATAACAAGTGGAATTAAATAAATAAATATTTCTTTAAAAAAAAGAGTTAAAAAAAAGCACAGCTTTTATAAAGTGAACGTTAATTCCATAAATGTTTTAATTTAGAAACTGAATTTAAATTTATTTTATTATTATTATTTTATACATTCAATTGCTATACATTATTTAGCTTGCAGAGAGAATTTACCCAACATGAAATACACTTCAGACCAGTCCAGTTGAGAATACTTTACGTATTATCATCAACTGGTAATAAACCATTTTTGTGTCCAAATCACCCCCCCCAGGGGGGATGGCCACACCGCAATTCCTTCTCCATTCTCCTCTCCCACCCTTAGAAACTGAATTTTAACTTAACAAAATGAATATTGATTATAAAAACAAGATATTGTTCTTCTCATTGCCTTAATAACAGTCCTGTCCTTCAATGCCAACAGATCCTAATGTTTTTATTGTTGCTTTTGGTTATTTTTATTTATTTAATCTGTTTGGGAGCAGTGGAATGAGTTTAGCCTGAACAAATTGTGATGTCTGCTTCTTGCTTTCTCTAGATTCCCTTTGAGCCAAGAAAGACCATATGGCTCAATTATGAGGAATGAAATCTACATTTGTAGGAAGCATTTCTGAGAAAGCTTTTACTTTCTGATGAAAGGGAAGATGTGGTTGCTGAATCCCAGACCTGGTGGCTTGCTTTCTCACTTTCTCTATTTGTGTGTGTGTGTGTGTGTGTGTGTGTGTGTGTGTGTTGTGTCTAATAAAATTTAAATAAATAAATTAATTTAATTAAAATTAAAATTAATTATTAAAAAAAGAGTCACAAATGTTTATAACTTCCCTTTAACACATCACATTTATATATATATATTTGGAGTCAAAGACATCCCTAACTAATCCTCAAGTGAATCTTAATAGTCTTTTGTATGAACAAAACCTCCTCCATTCAAACATTAAAAACTCCCACTTGACAGACACAAATATTGAAAGAGAACTTGAATCATTATTTAAGTATCAACTTATTTCTAAGAAAAACACCACCATGAGCAAATCCCCTAAATAGATTCAATTGATAACCTTGAGGACTATGAAGAAATAATGAAAAAAGGAAGTCTTGAAGTTACCTCTTCCACTTTGAGGGTGATGATTCTTGAAGTGGGAATCTTCACTCTGAGTTTGGCCCTTAGTAACTCCTCATAGGACTTCTTTTCCGCCCCATTTCCATAGATCATTTGTAGCTTCCAGATGGCTTCTTCCATTGCATCATCCCTGTCCCAGGAATCCATCTCTTCTCCACCCAGCTCCTCTGTCCTGTGCAGGAGTTTAGTCAAGTTCTTCAGCTCCTCTTTCCATTCCTGGCAAGGCAAAGTAGCGACAAACCCCTAATGGCACAAAGATATAACAGAGAAAACAACAAAGAGGCGGGGGGGGGGGGTCTACTGGCCCTGTGGAGGACTAGGGAGCTTTTTTTAAAAACAAAGGAGGGGGGGGGGGGGGGTGGTCTACTGCCCCTGTGGAGGACTAGGGAGCTGCACAGTCAAGAAATCTAAAATTGTCTAATCCAGCCTTTTGTCTATAAGAAAACAGAGGAAAATGGCTTGCCCAAAGTTCGATAATGAACTGATTTAAGACCTAGGCTAGAATCTCTATCTTACTCCTGAACTTTCTCCTTCTCTGCTATGTCCTTTTCATTCGACAAAGACTGATCTAGATTTACAAGGAATATAAATATTTACATTCACTTTGAGAGACAGTGAAAGGAAAGAAAGAAATGGAAGAAAGGAAAAGAGAAAAGGAAGGAGAAAATAAAGGAGAGGGGAGGGGAAGAAGGAAGGAAGAGAAAGAAGAAAAAAGGAAAGGAAAGAAGGAAGGAGAGAAGGAAACACTTACTTGGTCAGAGAGAAGGTGAATTTTGGCCTCATACTGCTCACAGCAGCCTGAGCTCACTTGTACTATACACGAAGTACATATGCTCTCTCCAGACACTGGTAGAAACATCGCTTGCTGGATGATGGCATTGATCAGGGAGCTCTTCCCAGCCCCAGTACTTCCAAATAATCCAATGTAGATTGGGTCCAATGATGGTTTTTCAATCAAAACAAGAAGTCTGTTTCTGAATCAGTTTTAAAATACACATTGTCACAATCATTAAAGTTCAGTGGGAAGAACATAATGGAACATAATGTAAAGGACCTGAGTTCTAATCCTGGGAAAGTTACTACATCCTTCTGAGTCTCTTCTCTCTCCTTAGACAAGAAGGAATATTAATCCCTGTTTACTATGCAGAGTTGGTCTGAGGAGCAAGTGAGATTATGCAGAAATATTTGGTAATGATAATTCTACACAAGCCCTATAATGTCTAGATAGATGTGAGGCATCTTTCTTTGTATTACAAGAAAATTGTGTATTCTTGACCCTAGAAGTAAAATTTATGTAGAGGCAAAGTAGAATTCAAGGCAACACAGATCCTTACTGAGTAGGAGACATTGCAACCTTGGCACCATTCAAGTTGTTCAGGTTAATTTAGCAGAGTTGGGGTGCACAGGGTCAGAGTCACATGGCCTGGGCCAGAGTCAGAGCTCTTTCATTTACCAATAATAAGACTCTGTTCAATGTCTTGGCCTGTTTGAGCCTTGATTTCAGTAAAATGGGAGTTATTACAATAGCTCCTACTTTATAGAGCTGCTGAGAGGATTAACTGAAAGTTGACATATGTAAAATACCTTGCAGACTACCTGACAATGAATGAATATTCAATGTACAGCAACTGTCAGTAAGAATAAAAAGTAATAATGATAATGGCCCATGACTACTGTAATTTGCTTAGTTTCTATTGAACATTCTCTTTCATCTTTAGGGAAAAGCACTTAGGATTATCTAAAGAAAGACAACAATGTAAGGTTTGAGGGTAGCAGATTTCAGACTCACATGAGATACTTGACTCCATTAGGAATGCTGTCATCTAGGAAGACAGACTGAATAAGTTTCTGGTAAGTGTTGCTCAAAACCCTTCTGGTCCGTGACTCCAACTTTTCATCTGGAATCAAGAGAGATGTATTATGTGGGATGGCAGAGATCAAGTATTAGGTTTCCAAAGGAGGAGTGTGCTAAGTATTGCGGAGGAAGGAAAAAATAAAAGGAAAGGAAAAGTCAATTAAAGAAGATAGCAAGTTATCTGATGTAGAGATAATAGCTCTTTGGAGACAGCAATCATTGATTCTGAAAATCTTCAAAGAGCCAGTCTGCTCTGAAACCACTTGTAACTGAAGTCATTATGTGCTTTGCCGTAGGCTTTAGCCCCTTCTAGATTCTTCTCCACTGTGGTCATGAAAAGAAAAAAAAAAATGCAAGGACACCATATAAAATCCATTAAAGCACAAAACTAACCATTTCCACCATCTTTGTTCTAATCAGAAAATGGTTTTTTGATTACAACTCTCTTATCTAGAAACACCTGAAGATAAACCCTCAAATTACATGTCTTTGCCAAGACTTTGAGATTTCTCTATCTAGATTAAGTTCATTTGAATTCAGCCTCCTCTGCCTTTGAGCATTTTAACATATTTGGAAGAAAACAGAGCCACATTGTAAACTATACAACAAGTTTCATGACACTCACATTCCTTAAGAGCACTTTGCTCCACGGAGGGAAATGCTCGAAATCGTTGGTCTCGATCAGATCGTCTTCTTTTTTTTATGGGTTCTTTAAATAAACCATCGTCAGCTAGAGTAAACAGAAGTATATAAAAATATAGGTCTTAAGATGTGATGTCTTTGCCTCACCTCTATCAATGCACAAACCCAGAGTCTAAGAAGACCTCTGCCAACTATGTCTGCTCATAAATTCATCTGGAAAAGAACACTGTTGGGTTATCCCAGTTTGCTTCCTACTTCTCAGAGTCACAGGACTTCTTACATTTAGTTCCAAAATGTAGATTTCAACATATCTCCCCAGATAGACATTCCTATTTAGAATTCCTTAGAAACCAAAGTGGCAGGACATTCTTCACCAAGTGCCAAGTGCTAGGAAATCAACCATGTAAAGAAAAGCCCAAGATGGGGCTAACTGTGGGCCAAAGAAAGGTCTTTGGGAAGTCTATTTAGACTCAGAAAAAAAAAAAAACTGATCAGAAGTAAAATTAAAAAAAAAAAAATTAAATAAAAAGGTGGCCATGGGACCAGGAAAAATAATTTCTTCTCCTTAAAAAACTGATCAGAAGTAAAATTAAAAAAAAAAAAAATGAAAAGGTGGCCATGGGACCAGGAAAAATCATTTCTTATCCTTGAACTTCTGTTTCTTTTTTTCTTTTTTTTTTTTTTGAGAGATTTTCTCTATAGGGCACATGTGCTCGCCAGATAGACAGAGAGAGACATAGAGACAGAAAGCGAGAAATCACCCCGCAGGGGGAATGGTCATGCCGCAATCCCTTCTCCTCCATTCTCCTCTCAGGATCTTGGGCACGCATGCACATGTGCCCGGCATGAGTTTTAAGACACCGGGTCTGGGACGCAAACCACGGTTGACCGCATGGGAGTCCAGCGACATAGCCATTACACTAACTGCTGGTTCCCGAACTTCTATATCTTCATGCCACCGGGTCCGGGACACAAACCACGGTTGACTGTGTGGGAGTCCAGCGACATAGCCATTACTCTAACGCTGGTTCCCAAACTTCTGTATCTTCATATGTAAAATGAGAAAGCTGACAAAAATATACACATATCATAAGAGTTTGGGAGGGTGCTCTATCAGGTATACAGATGCCTTTCAGAAATTAAATGTGGGTTATTTTTTCCCTTCTGCACTGAGAGACATTAGCAGCTGCTTCCTTACTAAGCAAAAATAGAAATCATTGAGAAGCAGATAAATATAGTTCTGTAGAGAGTCATTCTCTTCAATGGTTTCCCTTAGTTATGAAGTGAAGGACCGGTAAAGCTCATAATCCTAAGGAAAAGATATCATCAAAAGATCACATTTTTAGAAAAGACCCTTCAGTGATGTTCACTTGGTTAAGAGAGGGACCTTAGGTGAGCACTTAAGAGTCTAAGTTGTTGGAAATGGTCCTAACTCAGAGCCCTGGGCCTGGTGTGTGCCTTGGGAACTGGCTTTGAACTTAACTGGAAGAGCAGATCCCTAAAAGTCATAACTTAAGGAGGGCATGAAGTTTCAGAACTGAGTGTGATATTAGGATATCATCTCTCCTGAAGAATCACAGAGAAGGAGCCTAACTTGGAGACCTAGGATGACCTCCACCACTAGGCTCCAAACAGGGTCTCTCAGAAAGCTCAGTCTTTTCTCCCTCTGTTCAGCCTTGCTTCTCCCAGCACAAATTCTGGAGCCAGCTCATACCCCACAGAGTATTCTAGTACAGACTCATGCTACTTGCCAAAGCCTGAATCTCGGCTGGCTCGTGCTTGCTGTGACAGGGAGGTGAAAGAGCTCATACCTTAGACCCTTCTAACACAGATATTTTGATTGCATGACTGAGCTCAATGTGAAGAATTCATCCTGGCTTAGCTTAAGGGTTGCATTAGAACTAAACAGTAAGCTGTTGCTGGCTCAGTGGCTGGAACTGAGAAGAAGAGAAAGAGTGAAGGAAAGAGCATGCTCCTTGAGCACCTAGGCTAGCTATGGGCTGAAGAGCACTTTGGTATGTGTTCCAAAGGCATTTCAGAATTCCTAGATGTCTCCATGACCTGTTTGTGGAAAGAACATAAAGGGACATCAACTCTGTACCTCAGGAATTCTGTTGCATAAGCAACATTTGCATAGTATTCTGGCCATATATATAAAGCAGGCAACAAGTCTATATATTAAAGGCCTTTATTTCAACTTTATGAGGACTGGCAATTAATCTGATAAGATGTTGGAAGTTCATTTCTCAACTAAAGCAAAGGCTAAGAAGTCAAATAAAATAGCAGGGTTTAAACTTTTCTTCAATTCCTTAAACTGAAAACCATCTTGAAAGGACAAAGTATTGTCTTGGATTTATGCCATGTAAAGGTATTTTCATATTAAATTGTAACTATCAGGCACTTGGATCATGGCTTTTATTATTCCCTTTAATTGTTCAAGCATTCCCTTGCCTCTTCCAGCACTCTACACTCAATTATCATAGGGAAAAGCATGAGGGGTGGAGAAAGGCCATCCAAAAATGTGCCAAGTCTACTGCTGCTCTTGCTTCCTGCTGCCACAAGGTGTCACTTTTAAAAACTGGTCTCAAACAGCCGGACCAGAGATGCAGATTCATTGATGATTCAGACCTTTGCCCGAGATGGCCACAGATCTTCCAAGCAAAACAATCTCATTCCTCTGAGCTTAGGAAGCGTGCCCCAAAAGGCAATTCTTTCTGTTTACATATCCAGCCGTGCATTAGATGCTCGCCATTAGCCCCACTGGCCTGGAAACACTGTGCCCGCTCCCAGGGAGTGAGGAAATTTTCCTCTCCAATTCTCAAAACACAAAGGATGTGATACATCCACATTTTCTGCATACGGAGTTGGCTCCAGGGGCCTGACACCTTCTGAGGGAAGGAGTCACCCACACTGTCTCCACCATGGTTCACCCTTCAAGGAGATGCTCTAGTCTGCCTACGTCTTTCCTTGTACGGAAAGCCACCTGATGTCATCATTCCAGGGGCCTCTCCTCTCCCACTATAAGATGGGCTACCTGCAGAGTTCAAGATGATTTTCTAGAACGTTCATTTAAAAAATAAATAAATAACCTGAAAACTCCTCAGATTTAACTGCTATTCAGACAGTTCACTTCATTATGAGTAGGCTATTTTAATTATTGTTGCAATCATTGATACTCATTCACTTTTAAAACTTGTCATATGAAAGCAGCTTCTGAATAAAGAGCAAGGAACAATGATTAAATACGGTCTCAACTGCAATCGGTCCCTATGTCTCACTCCATCAGGGGATATTGCAGGGATGTTACCTGGGCATGGCTCTTGACCCACAAAATCCTCCATTTCTGCCATTTTCTGTTACGTGAACTCTTGTTTTGTTCACTTAGAAAAACCAGCCTGAAATGACATAGAAAGTACAAAAAGGAAGAAAACAGAAATTGAAAATACAAAAAGTAAATATTTGGAAATATGTGAATCTGTTTGGGCTTTGATGCCCAGACCAGATTCTACGCTCTTGAAAAGCAACGACCATTCTAACTTATCTTTGACTCTCTTGCAATGCCTAGTGCACTGCCTGTTGATTTAAATACAAGAAAGCAATGTTTGACGCCTATAGCTATAGAAGCTTAAACTGTCATTAACTGAGATCTGTAAGGAAACTCACTATGAAGTGAGAGTAAACCTCTGGTGCCCAGAGCTGCTTTGCTTCTCTGGGTGATGTCAGTGCCCCAGATAGGCAAGCCTTTGGTCCCTTGTGCCAGTGATATTTAGTGGCAACAAGTCTGTGAAAATCTGGGACATTAGAGTCAAATGATGGCACAGTGATAACATGACTGAACCCACATGGGAAGGTCCTGGGTTCATGTCCTGGGCCTCCCTGGCACCCATTCCAGGCACCCATGATCTAGGCTGACTTAGAATGGAGGTAGACCATGGCATGAGGGCTCTATGGGGTGCAGGGAGAGGAACTCTCTCTCTTTCTATCTCATGGAAGAAGTAAATAAATAAACTTAAAAAAACAAAGAGTCAACTCCATGGCACTGTTCCCTCGCCTGGTCAGCCTGAAACACACTGGGCACATACATAAGTGCCCAAGACCCAACAGGTTGAAGGACTAGAGAAAAGGGGTTGCAGCATGACCTGGAGGGTTCTCATATCTCTCTCTCTCTCTTTCTCTCTCTCCCCTTCTCACTCTCATGTGTGCACATGCTCTGTCATGAATAAAGAGGAAGGAAAAAAGATCTTAATAAAAACAAACAAAAAAAGAGTCTGGAGATGTATGGAACCTTCAAGATTTCTAGGGTAGTGTTACTTTGGGGGCTATTGCGTGGAGAAGGAGAAGTGCAGTAATGAGGTTCTCTCTGAGCCTTCCTCACCATCCCATCCCCACTTCAACCAGGATGCTCCTACTGGGAGCTATATATCTTGTAGAATGGGACATCTGTAGGGGGAGAGAAGAGGCATATTCAAAAGGAGTGTCAGATCCACCCTGTGTTCAGTCCACCAGTAGACAGGGCACAGGCCTAGAGGGAGGCCAGTGACCCATAGAGGCTCAGAGCAGAGAGCATTGCACAGACTGGTAGGAGGATATTTTCCTGGAGCTTTTACATCACTACCCATAGTAGAGAATTTGGGGAACACAAAGTGCCCAAAGTGCTTACTCTCTTTATCTGATGTTTCTGTTTGAGTCACTCAACCATATTTCAAAAACAGAGTCACCAGCCCTCCTGAAATATGCAAAATCCTCTTGATCTGACAACTCCCACTAGACCCATAGGTCATTAGTTAGGGAGACTGTGAATCATTTACATTAAGCTCAAATTAAAATCATGACTCATCAGTTGAAACGGTCTCTTAGTCTTAGTTTGATCTGTGGATATTAAACTACTTCAAAAAGTTTGTGGAAAATGGAATTAAAATATAAGTTTACCTGGTTGCAAAAGTCATTCATGCATAGTTTTTCCATAACATATAATTTCCATGAAGTTGTTGAAAACCCCCCTCATACTTAATGGATGTTGGTTGAATGTGGGAGGAACTCCCATTATGTACCTAGGTACTGAACCTTAGTAGAGGTTTTTCCTGTCCAATTCTCTTATGATCCAATCTTTTTTTTTTTTTTTGAGAGAGATTTTTGCTATAGGTCACGTGCGCGTGCCAGAAAGACAGAGAGAGACAGAGAGACAGAAAG